TCATTAGGAAGGTCCAGGGAAACCAGGTGGGACTGAAATTAAATGGGACACATCAGCTGTTGGTCTATGCCAATGATGTGTATCTACTGGGTGATAATGTAGATACCATAAAGAAAAACACACAAACTTTAATTGATGCAAATAAAGAGGTTGGTCTAGAAGTAAACACAGAGAAAACTAAGTCTATGTTACTGTCTCATCACCAAAATTCAGGACAAAATCATGACATAACGATAGAAAACAGATGTTTTGAAAAAGTGGCACAGTTCAGATATTTGTGAACAGTGATAAGAGATCGAAACCTGATTCAGGAGGAAATCAAAAGGAGATTGAACTCTGGTAATGCTTGCTACCATTCAGTCCAGAACCTTTTGTCTTCTCATCTGCTGTCCAAAAACATAAAAATTAGAATATGCAGAATTATAATTTTNGGAATGTGTATAGGATATTGGTGGGAAAGCCAGAAGGAAAGAGACCACAAGGAAGACCAGGGCATAGGTGGTGGACAATATTAGAATGGATCTTAGAGAGATAGGATGGGATGGTATGGATTGGATAGATCTGGCGCAGGATAGGGACCAGTGGAGGGCTCTTGTGAACATGGTAATGAACCTTCGGGTTCCATAAAGTGCTGAGAAATTCTTGAGTAGCTACAGAATTGGCGGCTCCTCCAGAAGGGCTCAGCTCCAGGAGTAAGTAAGTAAGTAAGCTCTTACTAGAGCAGAAGCCACCTCACATCTGACAAAGGGAACAGAAAACTTCACCGAGATTAGTGGTGCAAGAAGTAATTATAACAGTGTTTTAAGAAACATGTGACGACGTTATAAGTGAATAATTATACCTGTATGTATAGAAGAGATCATCCAATAAACGTCTTAGCCAAATCCGAGACCCGCTTGAATTTTCTTATCCCGTTACATAGACAACAAACGACAATAATAACTAACTTATTTTTAATAGTTTAAATATTTAATAATATGTTCCTGTGGTCTACTGGTCAGAGTTGCTGGCTACAGATCCAGAGGTCCGGGTTCAATTCCTGGCGCTACCAGAATTTTTCTGAGAAGTAGTGGGTCTGGAACGGTGTCCACTCAGCCTCATGAGGATAATTGAGGAGCTATTGCAAGAAAATAGCGGGTCCAATATAGAAAACCGAAATTAATGGCCGTGGGGATCCATTGCGCTGACCACACGACACCCTCTATCTGCTAAAGTTGGCACTAAGTTTGCCGACAAGCGGTGGTCACTTGGTAGATATAGTTAGCTTGCGGACTAAAACCACGGAGTTTGTTGTTTTTTTCTTTTGTTACTCAGTGCCCCTATGTTAATTTTTTTAGTGGAAAGAGTAGAATGATGGGTTAAAATATTCAAAAATGTGTCACGGCCTTGAGCTGCAGGAACATAACCTTATATGTCTCAAGTTATGATGAACTCGACATATGACCCATTTTTGGGAATGCATGAAGCTGTAAGTCGAAGTTGTGACTGTCATCTTGAGAGTACCATGTACATTTCTTGCCTGTATCACACAGCTGAAATACAGACATATCTCACAGCAGAGTATCTGATGGTTTTGTTTACTGGTAATAGTATATTTCTTTATTTAACTATGCTGTCAGTAGCTCAGACTACATAGTGACATATGGTATGATAAGGAATAAATAATTGGAAAGGTTCTTGAAGGATGCAGCCATTGCCTAATTTAAGGTACTAACCCATTATTTGCATGGAAGGACTGATTAAAACCATGAAAAGTCTCTACCAGGATAGTCACTGCCCTGACTGAGATTTTGACTGGACATCTGCTGAATACGAGTCACAAATTTTACAACTTAAGCATCCCGTTTGGTACTGTTGATAACGTCTGGCTACTTTCCGTGTTTTAAGGTATCAAGTTCTGGCTGAAGCTGGTGGGACGAGCGATGAGGAATCAGCATCTGGGCGCAAGGTAACCACTGAGTGGAGTTACAACATAGGTGAAGCTGCTTTAGATGTTGTGGCTGTAACATGGGCAAATTCTTACTGTGATATATTGGTGCTCGGAGAGAGAAATCTCTTCTGCCTCAAAGATAATGGGACCCTGAAATTTATGAAGAGACTGGAATATAAACCCTGCTGCTTTCATCCTTACTTTATTGGTAAGTTTATTTTATAATATTATATTTCAGCATACTATTGCATTAATATCTCACTCACTAATTCATTTCCATCCAAAATGCAAGCACAACTTTTTATTTTAAATGTAACTTATAATTACATTTCAAATTCATAAAATGTCATGAAAATGTCATTTGTTGCTACATGTTTTGGCTGCACTAGGTCATCATCAGGCAACTGTTAACTAATGGAAATAATTGCACAGCATGCAAATATACTAATGTGTGATCATGTGCAGCACAGTGATTTCCATCAGTTAACGGTTGCCTGATGATGACCTAGTGCGGCCAAAACATGTAGCAACAAATGACATTTTATGAATTTTAAATGTAATTATAAGTGACATTTAAAATAAAAAGTTGCATTTGCATTATGGACAGAAGTGAGTGAGTGTGGTAAGTTTATTTTATTTACTTCTTATTTCAGTAAGTAATCACTGAACAGGTTTGCTAATGCTCCAGACTTGTGTTCTGGATGTACCTTTTAGAAGTGTCTGTCAGGGCACCAGCTGTTCTGACTGAAGTTTTCTCTGGTTTTCTCCAGTCCTTCCATGCAAATGTCAGGCAAGTGCCTCGACATAAACCTTCACACTAAACTTAATCTACTGCCCTGATGGATGGACACAGCAAGATGCTCTCGGTCTTTGACTCCTATCTGCCAAACTAAACAGTGCCAAGAGTCTCTATTCGATAGTTCATATTGTCACGTGTTGGGTGTGTAACGCAACAAGTAACTTCACGCTATATTGGATATAGTGAATTTATTCCACATTCGCTCATACACATATACAATTCACAATTACACAATTACTGCCATCGGCAGTATCACAATTACTTCCTCTGGCAAATACTAGACTGCAACTGCACTCGGAAACTTCACAATCCACACTGATCACACACTCTCTTCACATACTGCTCCACCGGCTTTTTATACCGCTCCCTGTTGCCTCGTGTTGCCTGCGTTGTCACCGTGGGGGAGGGGGGCAGTGTTGACTGGCCTGTTACCATAGCAGCCGCAGCTATGTTACGTCACCGTTGGCAGGGGAGGGGGTGTCCTGCATAGCGCAAATACGTCACAATATCTTTTGTCCTGTTCTTCCCTTCTGTCTGTCTGGACCATTTTCTCCTCCCCTTAGCTTACTTTTCTGCCCTGAAAATGGAGGTAGCAAGTTCCCTCAAAACATTACTATCCATCTATGGAACTATACATTCTCACATCTCAGCAGATTCTAATATTAGAATGAATGTATTTGTATTTTAGAACCCGATGGAAGGTTGATGGTACTAATTGTCTCAGAGACTAACACCTTGCTAGTGTATGAACATACAAAACTACTCTGGTCTGCACAGCTGTTCGTTGCTCCAGTTGCTGTCACTAGAGCAACATTTGAAGTAATAAATTCATCTCAGCAGAAACTGGTAAGTGCCTTATTTGATGATTTAAAATATATATCTGTAACGAAACTGAACACTGAACACTGATGATGTTAATTATCCTTCCGTTATTAAATCATGTGCTTGTGGGCAGTGTTGTGGACTTTTGACAGCTGCGTGCTGCTTCCATCTTCAACACTTTGACGATCAAGGTGGGGGAAGCAGGTACCTCTGTAATGTTGACAACATCGCCCTCAGCCACACTGTAACAACCAAAGAACAGAAATATCAGTAATTAGCCATGGTGAAAGCCTAAAATCAGTAAAAGTCTTATGAGATGTAATGCTGTATAGTTCTGTAGAAGTCCACTGATGTTTTGGAGAAACTACTATGTCAAGTCAAGCAAGAAACCAATTTCCTGCTTGGTTTACTCTTTGACCATGAACATAGTGGCAGTACATTCCTTTAAAATGTTGGTGCAGTGTACACTTCTGTCATTTAATGACCAAAACGTGTAGTGGTGACTGCATCTATATAAAGAAAGCTTGTGGGGCAATGTACAGAATTAATTTGTCACATCAGCATGTTTAAGTTGGCAGATTTATTTTTCTTTTTGTAAAAGATATGTATTTGTGGCTTTTAAGAGTATTAATTTATATTTTACAGAGTATGAAAGGTGTATTGGTTCTACTGTCAGATCAAGGTGAACTTCAGTGCTCCTATCTCGGCACAGAACCCTCACTGTTCATGGCTCCTCCCCTGGAAATTCATGCCATAGATTATGAACAAGCTGGAAAAGAGCTCTCAGAGTTGCAGAAAGTCATAAAGACATATACAAAGAGAAGTAGTAAGTGTATTTGTTTAAGTGTTGTGTGTCTGAAACACCTTTGAGGGAATGTCATACATTAAGTAGACACCCTTATGAAAGGAAAGTTCTGTCACAAAAGGGAACTGGAGTTGTGTTCATTCAAAGTATTGACATCCGCACACCAAATGGGGCCATAACCCAGAAGACTAAAATTGGAACAGTCACCACCATGAACATGTAGAAATTTATATGACTGTTGTCTGTACAGCTGCCTCATTGACGAGTACAGCCGCTGAGCAAGAAGTGAAAGTGTCCGTGAGTGTAAACTCACAATTGGAACCATGTCCATTTCCACACAGCATTGATGAGGAAGGAGTAGAGATTCCCATGTGCCGGGTGTCAGTTGAGCTGGTGCCTCATTCTCCGTTGAGCAAGGTGCAGGTTTCTGTGATCGTGCAGCCTCCACTGACTGTGTCACAAGTGTCACATACCATCAGCAGTTTGTGTAAGTTGTGGCTCTTGTGACATACCATACCACTTGGTTCTTTAGGCAACAAGTCCTCAATTATTCATAGTTTTCAAACTTTACTGTCATCTGGAGTGTAATATCATGTAGTGTCTTACACCATTGCCAGTTTGTGTAAGTTGTGACTAATGTAATGTACCATACTGTTTCATCATTTTCAAACATTACCTTCCTGTGGCACTTTTTTTCATATATCCTGGTCGACTGATGTAACTCTTTTAACAGGGACCAAGATTGAAGAGTAAGCCAAACAGGCAACCTTCAGTGTGTGTGAAGCAAGCAGAGCCCATGGTGCATTTATCTTGCTGATAGCTAGCTTAGCTTACGCTTTGACAGCAAAGATGAAGGTAGTACATTCCTCAAAAGTGTTGTCTACCAGGTTATATGGTGCCACATAGCGCTTAACTCCATGGAGTTCACAAGACCCAACCACTGGACTCTTTCCTGAGCCCCTTTATTCTGTTTCTTTAAGATCTGCCTTATTGCTGCTGTCCCAGCTGTGCCTAGACTGGACAAGTGGTGCGTTCCTTTCTGGTCTTCTGACTGAAATTTTGTGTCCATCATCACCATATGTGTGTTATGTGTTCTACCCATCTCATCCTTCTTGATGATAGCATTTGTTGAAGACAAAAATTATTAAGCTCTTCCATATGTAATTTTCTCCACCCTCTTGTCATGTCCTGCCATAGATCAAAATATTTTTCTAGCACTCTGTTCTGAAACACGGTATATATTTTACTGGATTTGAGGTTCTCACAGCAGTGACTGTGAAGAGCACTGTCTTCTGGTATGTGACACTCTGTAGCCTATTAGACGTTTGCTGATGTTTTGGAGGGACATTTGCCTCCGTGCTCAGTGGGAAAGAGTGAACGATGAACTCAATCAGCAAGCTGCTTTTGACCTCAAAGATGGATGCTGTTGATATGTGTGATTAGTGTTATAAAATAATAAACATGATGAATGTTTGTTTCTCCCTTTCTACAGGCGAAAGAAGTTCTATAATAGCATATGTTTACATGGAACAAAGCTGTGATATACCAACACTGGACGTACGAGTCATAACATCTTATATGGCCAGCACCGGAGGATTCCCACGTGTTCTGCATAATGTGGCCCAGTTACCACTGAAACTAGTGGCACTTTTCACTGCTCCAGCAAAGGAAGCTGACTTCAAAGTCACTCTCAACACAAACCAACCTGTTGTAAGCCTGTCACAACTTTTTCCAGGTGAGTAACTATGGGGAAGGGGTGACTGTGTAGTATCAGATGGTAGGTTGATTGGTGAATAATGAATTTAATGTGATTTGGAAGGCATAGTTCATGGCCCAGTCAAGGTACTGTCCCATCATTTACCTGGAGGGACTGAAGAAAACAGAAGTCCTGTCAGGATAGCCAGTCACCCAGCTAAGATTTGAACTGACCTCTTCCCAGATAAGCATAGATGCTGCTACACCAACCTGCTGTGTGTGTGTGTGTGTGCATGTGCATGTGAGCATGAGTAAATTATAATCAAATGAGGCTTTTCACAGTGCTCAAAATTCAAATTGTCTTTTGAGTTATGGCACCCATAACATTTCAGAGAAATCTGCTCTTCCAATCTTCAAGGGACATTGTATCATAACCCAGAAGAACACAGCCATAAATTATAGTCACTGCCCAAAGTTTACAAACTCCATATCGTTTGGAGACAGCTAATCCAGAGTGGGGACATCAGAGAGCACAAATTATGAAGCTCAGCATTATGCAGTTTTCTCCTTTGTCCTCTTACTTTGTCCCTCAGGTTCAAATATTCTTCCCAGCACCATGTTCTCAGACACCCCTAATCTCTGCTATCTCTTCATGTGACACATCAAGTTTAGTATACATGCAAAACAAATGAAATTATAACTGTTTATATACGAGGGGGGACCCAAAAATAACCGGAACCGACCTGTTGCGCGCGCATGCTTTGTAGTTACGAGTTGTGCTGCTAGGTGGTGTTAGCTGGGGGTCTCCCGCGACTGTTAGTGAGCTGGTGTCAGTCTGAGTTAAGTGGTTTGTCTGTGGTGCTCTGTTGTGTGCGTTCCTGTTTCAATCCTTTGGCGATTAGTGAGATGGCCGACCAGAAGGAACAAAGAGTGTGCGTGAAATTTTGCTTTCTGTTAGGGAAAACTGCAGCTGAGACTGTTGGGAAGCACGGTCCAGCGAATTTTAACCGAAGGTTTGCATATGAGACGGGTGTCTGCAAAATTTGTTCCTCGCTTGCTCGGAGATGACCAAAGAGAAAACCGTGTGAATGTTTGCCGCGACTTGAAGAGTGAAGTGCAGAACGATCCAGAATTCATCCAGCAATCCAGCAATCATCAAGCCAGTGGAAAACTCCAACTTCACCACGACCGAAGAAAGCCATCTCACTAATCGCCAAAGGGTTGAAACAGCAACGCACACAACAGAGCACCACAGACAAACCACTTAACTCAGACTGACACCAGCTCACTAACAGTTGCGGGAGACCCCCAGCTAACACCACCTAGCAGCACAACTCGTAACTACAAAGCATGCGCGCACAACAGGTTGGTTCCGGTTATTTTTGGGTCCCCCTTCGTATTGTTTCTTTTGAAGGAGATGAGACAGCAGAAGATTCAGAACTGAACTGTAAGAAGTGTTTCCTGAATGTAATCTGCTCATAACACTCTAACCGTCCACCCTCTCTTTAGGCTTCTTGCCCACAAGGTGGTTGCCACTTGTCACTTTGACTGCCCTACCTGGTGCTGCCTCCGTTGAAGTTGTTAGGTCGTGGCTGGTTCCGGCTTGACCAGGCTCCACCGCTTCTTCCGGCTCCACCGCTTCCTCCTTCCGTTGCTGATTACGGGATTGGGATTTCCCGTATAGAACCTGATATTATGGGCGCCAGCAAACAGCTAGGTGCTGTTTGCGATTCATTTTTTTAAGGAGGGAAGGCGTGAGTGGGGTGGAAGCTGGCGATGGGTTTGGTTAGCTCCTGGCGATGAGTTCTCTCCTCAGGTCGGCTAAGGGTCAGGCTCGGGCAAGTGAGGGTGAAGCACTTCTGACCAACACAATGCACTTTGCCACTGGAACACTTTATTGTTTCTCACAGTCACTCGGAGTCACAAATCTACACTATAAGACCTAGTCTCGGCTTCCAAGCTGCCGGTGCTGTACTTGCTCAAATTATTTAGTTTAACGCGCAAGTATTCGCGGGTTTTACCTCCGCCAAGTTCGAAAGTTTTAGCAGCCTCCTCAATCTTAAACTGGACTATATTCGCGGGTTTTACCTCCGCCAAGTTCTAAGTTTCGTAGCCGACTCTTAATCTTAAACTGGACTCTCTGCCGAGCCAGAGGTCCTAACTTAATTGTATCCGCCTCCTCTCTTCTCCTCCAAAATTCTCGGATAGGTGGATTCAAATAAGAGGAGTTGGCTTAAATTTTGTTCCGACCAATGACCGATTGTTTTAGAAGCAGTTTCGGCCTAAAATCCCAAACAGCGAAATTGACAGAGATGTAACTTATGAGGGTCGCTAATGAACCCCTGGCCCTCCTACTGTTGACTTATGACTGTCACGTCTCGAATTCTCAAAGTGTCTTGCCGCCGCCGTAAGTCAACTTCTGAATTTCTAAAGAAACTCAGTGGGGGTTCCATGAAGTATCATTTCTGCCCTCTTCGAAACAGCACCAGATGTTTGGAAGCAAGAACTAACAGATGTCCTTGTCCACGCAAGTTCGGTCTATCTGCTTGTTCTGACTGTGTCTTAACCTATGCTTCTTTGTAATTCTCATAATTCTACTTTATAACTACTGAAATAAAAAGAAGGGGGGAAGGATTTCAGTGGTTCGGTTACAACACATTCGCTGCCATATTTCCATACTGGATTTTACCTGCAGGGCCATCCATTGTTCCATGAAAATTGGAACTTAATTTGACCTTACTGCATTTAAAATAGAAGTGGAAGAGAATAAGTGAAGACGGTTTCAACAGTGACAGTATCTCTTAACTCAGGCCATATAGCCCAAGCGGTTAGTCGCTGGCTTCCCACCAAAGCGTTCCAGGTTCGATCCCGGTCTGATCAAGTGGGATTTGTGGTGAACAGAGTGACACTGTAGCAGGTTTTCTCCGAGTACTTCGATTTCCCCTGCCAATCTTCATTCCACCAAATTCTCCATCATCATAATCAACTGGGGCAGGTACAATAGGCTAATCAGTCGCCACCGTGCTGAGTGGACCCAGCTGGACTCCATCCACCACTAAGCGAAATTTCTTAGCTCCTTCAAATTTAACAAGCTGCAGTTTAAGTTTTTCTGTGTTTGTTTCACATCTGAAGGAAGAAGACGTTTACTTATACTACCCAATAGCCCTTCACTTCACAAGATTAGTTGTGTCATGAAGTAAATTTCCACCTGTCATGTTTTTGGATTTGACAGTGAAGGTGTAAATTTCTTCACGAATGTATTTAGATTTCATGTCTTCAATTGCAGCAGTATGTTGAATGAATTGTTGCTGTTGGCAGAATTTGTTGGTGAGGGTGTCTTGTCTGGAACCAGCAATGCAGCTGGGTTCCAGTATTATGGAGGAAGAGGCTCTACAGTAACTGTTCTGGCTGCTAAGTCATCACAGCGCTATCGTCTGCAGTGCGACACACTACCTTCCCTCTGCCTTCTTACTTCACAGCTAGTACAGCGGCTCAACAGGCACTTCTCCAGGCATGAGGGCTTCACATGTTCCTATTCCTCTTCACTACCCCTACATGAGCTCTTCTCTGAAATTGGAACACATTTTTTCTTTAGGGAGAAAGCTAGGAAGATACAGGTAAGCATAAATGAGGTCATACCAGACTTCTCTTCACGTTTTATTCCTCCTCCCCATTTCCTTCATCTATATTATATTTAAGCATCCTGTTGCACTCCATACGATAAATGATATAAACTCCGTCTCAAGTGCAAACAATATATTTGTGTCTTTGATCTTGCTCCCTACACTACATGTTTCGGCCTCAGACGGCCATCATCAGGTGTATAACACTCACGTCGCTGTCACACTGCACCCAGTTCAAAATCTAACATCTAAAACACTCCCTGTCATTATCAACTTCTACCTCGTTGATAGCTGTCCACCCGTAGACTACTTCACACACGTCAATTTTGAGTTTATTGTAATAGCACCACAATAAAATCTTTAGTTCTAATTTTAAACTTTTAAATTCTTGTCCAAATTTTAAAATTTTAAAATTGTTAGGGTTATTCGCCCTGTGTTTGAAGTGCTTCCTTCATCTTCCCACCCTCCCTTCTCTTCCTGGTTCATCTTCTCATACTTCTTCTGGATCTCATCATCATCATCATTCTTAANGTTTAGGGAGAAAGCTAGGAAGATACAGGTAAGCACAAATGAGGTCATACCAGACTTCTCTTCACGTTTTATTCCTCCTCCTCATTTCCTTCATCTTCTCACCCTCCCTTCTCTTCCTGGTTCATCTTCTCATACTTCTTCTGGATCTCATCATCATCATCATTCTTAACATCTTCATCTCTCCTCCTCATCCCTACTACTATTCCTTTTTCTCATCTTTCTCCTATTTTTTCNATCTCATCATCATCATCATTCTTAACAACCACAATAAAATCTTTAGTTCTAATTTTAAACTTTTAAATTCTTGTCCAAATTTTAAAATTTTAAAATTGTTAGGGTTATTCGCCCTGTGTTTGAAGTGCTTCCTTCATCTTCCCACCCTCCCTTCTCTTCCTGGTTCATCTTCTCATACTTCTTCTGGATCTCATCATCATCATCATTCTTAACATCTTCTTCATCCTCTCCTCCTCATCCCTACTACTATTCCTTTTTCTCATCTTTCTCCTATTTTTTCTTCTCATCCTCTTCCTCCACTACCACCTCCTCCTCCTCCAGCACCACCTCCTTCTGCTTGTTGTAACATCATTTTAATTGTAATAGCTGATGAAGAGTTTGTGCAGTTCAAACACTGAGAGATTCAGAAAGCAAGGGGTTAAGTGTGCTTTAGGATTCTAGCGTATTTCATTCCCCTTTTAAATGAAAGTCATTGTGTTGGGTGATCATCACTTTTGTTTTAATGATATTTTGTTTGTCTGAATTAGTTGTTTTATTATCTAAGTGTATTTCTCCAGTGTTCCAATATATTTTTTTAAGGAAGAACTTGGTCAGAGGACAACACAGTTTCGAGTAATCCAGCGCCGTTTGCTGGCAAAATTCAAAGACAAAACACCTACCCCACTAACCAATCTGGATATGCTGCTGAAGGAGGCGTACCAGCAGATCCTTGCCTCTACTGATGAAATGGAGGAAATTCAGCAGGCCCTGTTACGTTCTCGCTGTCAGCTGGGTTGTGTCACTCGCCTCATTCTGTTGATGATGAGATTAATGAACACTGTCTCAGAGGAGGATTACTCGGACCTACAGGCCGCCCTCCCTTCAACTGTTTATGATGCAGAGGAGCAGGTGAGAGAATACATTAATGTGAAAGGAATGCCTCTTGAAATTTCATTAGCAGTTCAATATGCCATAAGGCATATATATCTTAGCAGACATTTCTGATTGAAGTATTGATGTTTGAAATGGATAGGGAGTAGAATAATATGTTTATTAGCCTTTGTCATCTGGATATGTATCTCCCACTACTACACCATTGACAGCTGGATTTAAACTTAATGATAGTGGAATTTATATTGTAAATAATGTGACTAGTTCTGCTGAGTCCTGCTGAAGCAGCAGTGTGGTGTGTGGACAGTAAAGTTTAGAATTTTAGGGCTAAGCTTTCAGTAGATATTGTTTCACCAGACAAATGAAGTTTAATATGTACTATCTGCTATGGGAACAATGGAATATAGTAATTTAGTGACATAGGGCATTATATCATCATTAGAAAGGTACTAGATTCTGTTTTCTGCTTTTGATATTCATATACTGGTGAGAAATTCAGACATACGTACAGCAAACTTCTCTTCTGTAAGGTTGCCAGCACAGTATTTACCTTGGTTCATGATAGTGGATGGAGTTTAAATCGTTATTCATGATTTTGAACATGGAAGCTATCCACAAAGAAAAACACAGAGTTTAGTGTCTTCCAGTTTAACTCTAAAAGAGTTTACTATACTCGGTCAACATGGGTTCTGAAACTGGTATGCCTTCTCTTCACTGATTTTGATCTAACAGTAGATTGTGTAAAATTTTGGCCTTCTGGGATGTGACACTGTATAATCTGGTAGATAGGTATCAATATTTCAGAGGGATTTGCTGGGCGAACTGGGTAGGAAAGTATAGGTAATAGAGGGAGAGGGCTGTGAACAAAAAAATAGTAATTAGTAAGAGCTTGTTAGTGTACCACCCTGTTCTTTCCTTCTTACATCATGTACCATTTTTCCCCCACTTCACCTACTCCCTCACCTTAAGCTATATGGTACCATGTCCCAGCAGATGGTACTGTTCATATTTATAGTTTATATGTGTTGTAAATAACACTGTTTCAAAGAACACTGTCTTCTGGGATCTGATTCCACATAGTCTGATAGAAGTTTACTAACGTTTTGGAGGAGCATACTAATTCTACCTTCATGGTCAAAGTGTCACTCTTTTACCCTGAAGATGGCATCAGTACATTCATCCAAAACAACAGTAAACTAGCAGACTACATGGCATCATATCCCAGAAGACTCAATTTTGTATGGTCATCGCTGTAAGAACCTCAGATCTTGAATGCTTTTTGAGTATGATACAAAGGTTGGATAAAAAGTAGTGGCAACACTTCTGTAGTTCTGAAATTACTTTATTACCTGAGGTAAACATACTTACATTCCTTCATCATAATTGCCTCTCATGTGTACCACCTTCTGCCAAATTTGTGGAAGGTGTCGTACACCATCAGTGCATCCACTTCTGTTGATGTCCAGCAGTGACCGCCCTACAGCACAAATAATCGCCTCTCTTGTGTTGTAACGTGTCCCTCGCAATGGTTCTTTTATTTTGGCAAAGACATCATAGTCGCACGTTCTCATATTGGGTGAGTATGGCGGATGTTGCAGTATGTCCCATCGCCAGCAGCGAAGGAGATCCTTGACAGCATCAGCAGTATGAGCCTTTGCATTTTCATGAAGGATGATGGGGTTCGTTGCCAGCAAGTGTTGTCGCTTTCTCCTGAGTGCTGGACAAAGATGATTACGCAGGAAATTGCAGTAGTAGGCAGCGTTTACTGTCTGTCGTTGAGGTACAGTGTGGTGCAGTATCACTCCATTAATGTCATATGCCACAAAGAACATTGCCTTCACATTACTCTGGGTAGGGAGCGCTTTCTTTGGATGAGGAGAGCCAGGATGCTTCCATTCATTTGATTGTCACTTCAATTGCGGTTCGTATGAGGAGCCAAAGTTTCGTCCAGGGTGACGATCCTTCCAAGGAAGTCATCATCTTGCCTCTGGTACCGGTCCAACAAGTCCTGTGCAATTGCATAACATTGCCATTGTTGCAACTTGGACATTGTATGGGGTACCCAATGTGCTGCAATTTTGTGATATCCAAGAATATCGTGCAGAATGTGGAGCACAGTTTTGTGACATACGCCTACCTCAGCAGCTAACTCCCACGCAGCCCATTGACGATCAACATCCAGCAAAGAAGCAAGGAACTGAATTGTGTGGTTGTCAGCATGGGGTCATCCTGAACGACGGCTGTCCTGAATGGCATCCCTCCCTTCACGGAACAATTTCACCCATCGTGCCACTGTGCGATATGGCAAAGCAGCATTACCACATGCTTCTCGCAGTCCCTGATAACAGTTTTGTGCAGTACAACCTCGTGCAACTTCAATTTTTATCCAGGAGCATTGTTCTTGTTTCGTAAACATGTTCTTAGGGCACTTGAACTGGGCTCCTGCACTTCAAGATGATGCACAATGCAAGTCAATGAAACAGAACCAGAGCCACTCACTGCATTACTTCAACTGAACTTCTGCTATCAGCTACAGACATCACTAGTGCCACCTGACGCACATCTGTCATGTTACAGCAGTGTTGCCACTACTTTTTATCCAACCCTTGTATTTTAAGGGAGGAAATTCAGTTTTTCAGTGAATGTACATATGTTTCAGGGCTGGGAAGAAGTTACAGATGCAGCTCTGTCTCATTTACTACGTACTTCTCTTGCTAAGGGCTCTAAAACCTCACAGCACTTAGCTCAAATTGCTTTGGAACCAATGAAAGACATAACACGATTCAAGAAGCACATTTCTGCAGTGCTGGATCGCATATCTAAAGGGAGCAACAAGGCTGAACGCAAGGATAACGTTGGGGAACTGCTGAAACCTGTGAAATCTGTTTCACCAATCCCAGAAGCTGGTGAGGGAGGCCATGATGAGGAACCTGTTGTTCCTGTAGGTTCACAGTATGGTGAAAGAGCAGTCTCGGCAAACCCACGTGGGAGATCAGCTGCATTGCTCAAAGCACATCGTGCTGCTCAGATGCCGGTGACAAATGATGGTGAGTAATGATGATTTTATCCTTGATTGACCAGAATGGATTTGAAGAATTCCAGTAGCTAGTAAAATCAAGCCTATAGCTTTATATATGCTGCACCGCTATCTTGGCTGCACCCTTTAAATTCATGTTTATTTCAGTTAAACCATCAGCATGGAGTGCCCTGTGCTTCGGTCTGACGAACTGTGTTTGAATTGTATGAATTCTGTGTGCGTATCCTGCTGTACTTGTAAAGCAGCTTACTGAGATCTACAGAAAAGCCCCCATTTCAGGCTTCTTTGAGGAAAGGCTTAAACAGAGAGAATTTAACACTGGGTTTGACTTGGGATTATTGAATTTGCACAAAGGGGGGAGGTCTTAAGTTGAGGAACATTAAATGGTAGTTCCACTGTATTTTTTAAGTCATGTTTCTGCCTCTGAGATACATTTTGCAGTGCAACTTCCATACACATGAATCCATCTCCCAACATCTCTGCTTCTGCTGAACCAAAGAGATGTTACAATTAATATGTTGCTGGACATTATCCATCATCTTGTCTGTTCTTAAAAAAAAACCGTCTAGTTTCTATTAAAAACACAAAGTTTCGGGAACTGGAATCTGTCCCCATCTTCAGGTAAAACCTACTCAGTTGGGTCCAATAGACAGAGCTAGCCCCTATCTCTGGACAACTATGCCAGTTTCAGAAGGGGTTCATAAAACAAGCACAACATAATCCATCTGTGAGAGCTAAGAAATATTGAAGCTATCATATTTGAGGCTTAGCACCAGAGAAATATCTAGAATGAAATCATACCGGGAGAGAAGCAATACTCCTTGTGGTACCAACATATGAAACAAATAGTTACCCAAACCAACTACACTTGACGTCGCTGTAGTCTCTTGATTTCTGCTGTGATGACAGGAGCCCAGATGGGAGAGATATCCACACTGGGTTGACTAATTGGATGGTCCAGCAGAGACATGTGGGCTGATTCCTTGTATCTTCTGTATGTAGTGTTGGGTTCGATCTGCAAGACTTTCGCTTCATTCCAACGAATTTTGTGATCTTCCTCGTATGCATGTTCTGTTCTGTTTTAAGCAAGCATCTTGTGTTGGATTTCAGGTTCTCACAGCAGGGGCCATCTTCTGGGATGTAACGCTGTGTAGTTTGCTAGAAATTTGCTGACATTTTGGAGGAATGTACTGCGTTTATCTTCAGGGTCAAGAGTAAGACTAGCAACCAGTAAGACAGCCATATAGCTCACAGTGTTTGATGCTTCCTTCTTACTCCTTTCTTGCTTGGCCTTAGTCTTTGATGCTGAAGATGGAGGCAGTACATTCCTCCAAAATGTCAGTGGGTTTCCACCAAACTATGCCGCCTTGCGTCTCAGAAGACAGTATTCATCAACAGTCTTGTGCTTGATGTAAGATCATTCAAAAGCCATATTGTGAAGTATGCATTGAATAGTACCATCTGTCATTGTAGTTAAGATATGCAACAGACCCTGTTGTAGGTTTCCCCATGAACTTTCATTTTGTTAAACGTTTAACTAACTACATAGAGCTAAGACCTTCTTGAGAAACCGCCAGTTATGCAGCTATTCAAGAACTTCCCAGCATTTTATGGAATCTGAAGGTTCATTACCATGTTCACAAGAGCCCTCCACTGGTTCCTATCCTGAGCCAGATGAATCCAGTCCATACCACCCCATCCTGTCTCTCTAAGATCCATTTTACTATAATCCACCCACCTATGTCTTGCCTTCCTAATGGTCTCTTTCCTTCTGGCTTTTCCACCAATATCCTATATGCATTGCTCTTCTCCCTCATTTGTGCTACATGCCCTTCCCATTTCATTCTCCTAGGCTTGATCATTCTAATTATACTTGGTGAAGTGTACAAGTACATTCTTGTACTTGGAGAAACTCCTTTCCACATCTGCAGACACAATGGCAGCGTACTTGAAGTGTACCAAATCACTAGCAGTAAGTTCTTCAATACTGAAAGCGCTGAAGGACTCTCCTGACAATTCAAGAAATGCTGCATAATGTTTCATAACCTGAGTTTTTATCCAGAACACTTTTCATTTTTCTTGACACAATTTTACCAATGTCCCCTAACACTTTCTCCAAATCACTGGCTATTTTTTTCACCAGAGCGAACGAATCTTCTAGCGTTGCTCCTATCTCCTGCAAGCATTGGATTCCTTCTGTCAAGTAACTGAAATTTGGCTTTATGAAGGCCAGCTGTCCTTCCATTTCGCTGCAAGAGAACTGTTCCTGAGCAGCTGTAATTGCCCTCGCATCCTCCGTCTTCATTGAATCTACAATGTTTTCTCACTACCTGAAAATGATCGCAATAGTAAATTGCAGCATCAATCCACATTTCCCACCTTGTAATGACGGGTTCCGGGGGCAGTGGAACACCAGGAGCCATAGACTTAAAATGCATTTTACGAGCTGGAGCCTTGACAAAAATCTTCATCCTCTACATGAGAGCATCCACTTGAAATCTTGATCTCACTTCATCCGTCACTGTGCAGTGCATGATCTAGGCAAGTAACGTGCACCAATTTCATATAAAACGACTTTATTGCCTTGCTTGCTTTTACAATATATGGGGCTGCATCGGTCACAAAAAGCAAGACGCCATTGTGTCGTATACCCTCTGGCCACAGTAGAAACATTTGTAAACAGAGTTTACAAATTGTGGAATAATTAACGGATCCCAGCACCTCACTCGTAAGCAGAAACACTTCACCTGGTCCGCCAATTTCCAAGGTTTCAATGATGACGTTTGCCATGTAACGAGACTCCGTATTGCAGGTCTCATCAGTAGAAACAAAAATCTTCTTCCTAATCATTTCCAAGATACTGTTGTAGCACTGGGAAAGGTATTTCTTCCTGAATGTGGATTCATCCAGGATGGAACAACCACAGTTTACTTCCAGAAAATGTTTCAGTTTTCCATTGTTCAAAGTCCAAAACAGAATATTTACGGATGCCAGAGCATCACACAGATCTTTGAAAAAATCCGATGACTTATTTCCACCTCCAGGTGAACACTGTTGCAGTAACATTTGCACAGGTTTCTTTTTGTTCAAAATTTGCACTGCTCGTATATGCTTGTTGCGGCCAATATGTCGTTGTGCCATGAATCTTTTTTTCCGCCGCTACTTTTGTGTCACACATCATGCAGTATAAACTGTCACCGTCAGTTGAAAATATGTCATCTCCAAACTCAGCTACAAATTTCTTTAAATGACATGATTTAGTTGGCTTTGCTTTTGGCATCGTGATAAAATTAATCACTCTAGCGCAACACAGAACTGAACTTTTCTCACTGAGAACCTTTCATCAACTGTATCTTTATTTGTATGGTCAAGGGTGAGGAACTGAAGACTGAAGGAGTTTTACTGAACAACAATGTCATATGAAGCAAGGGATTCCAACTAGAAATATGTGTAACTAAGCAAATTGCTTTGTACAAAGAGCCGCAGTGTGAATAGTCATTACTGTACCCTGTTTTATGATATGTATTGTCAGGACTTCCGCGAAACGAACAGAAAGGATGAGCCAGGATAAAACCTATTATTGTATAACTTTGTAGAGAGCGCTTAGAAGAAAGAGAAAGAACACTTTCCTTCCATATTATTCACATTTCAGAAAACATATGAAGAAAAATTCCCTAAAATGGCCAAAAATGACAAGAAATACCCTTAAAAGCCCAAAAATTTACCCAAAAATTATCCCTCAAATGAAAAAATGTCAAAAAATTACCCATAAAATTTACATTTCTGTAACCAGCAGCTCATATCCGAGATTTATATATTTAAGAGCATCGCATAGGATACAAGGAAAAAAAGATGACATGTCATCAGAATCCGGGCCCTGGTGAAAAACCTATGCATTATGCATGCATGTAGTGTATTTCATCCTAAGGGTGTATAATATTAACGATATTTGAAATGTAACTTTCGTATTTGTTCCAAACCACCGTGGCACTTAGTTTTAAATCACTGTGCACAAGTCCTGTAAAACTAAAGCAGTAAATTATATCTATGGCAGCCTCAATCACCCATTATAGCCCTTCATTTCTTTTCAGGATGTCTTTTGCTGTGTTGCATGCTAAGTACAGACTGTCTGAATTTCCCATTTATTCACTTCTTATGAAGGTTCTGAACAGCACTACTGCAAGTGCACTGGACACTAACACACCAGGTTGAGTTTCAGTTTCATCATGAAATGGTGAGTGTAGACCAAAGTCTTTCTTGATGCAGGTCTGACTTCTCATCCGGAAGCTGGTGTTGTTACACTCAAGACAGACCAAGGACAGAAAGAACCCTCTGATCCTCAAGTCGCATTAATTGAGGGTCCTTCAGATGTATCGCCTTCTGCAGATGATGATATTTGGTGACCCCAAGTATTTCTTGTGCTGGAAGTCTGTCCAGTTAGTACGAGGGTTGGAACTTTAATAGTGGCAACTATTTATTTACAACTGGTACAAAATAGATGCATATTTCAAAATTTTACTGTCCTTCAGTGTAGTCACCAGCATTGTGTACAACCCGTTGCCAGCGATGTGGAAGTCGTAGGATACTTTTAGCAGCGCCTGTTATGTGGTTAGTTCGAATGGAGCAGTCCACTGCCTGAAGAATCTCTGGAACAGTGCTGAAGCAAATGCCATGAAGTGGTTCCTTTATCTTAGGAATCAAGTCTAAGTCACAAGGGCTTAAGTCCGGGGAGTATGGTGGATGGTACAGCACTTCCCAGCCCCATCGATCGAACAAATCAGCCACAGCTTGGCTGCATGCAGCTGAGCATTATCCTGCATTATCCTGATGGGTGGGTTCTGCAGAAAGTTTCGCCGCTTCTTTCTCAAAACTGGTCGCAGGTTGTGTTCCAAAAATGAACAGTAATACTGCACATTGATGGTCTGCTGTCGGGGAAAGAGCATACACTTCCTCTTCACTGACACTAGGATGACCTGGCCAACGCATGTCTGCCACATTTTGGCGTCCCTC